TTTTGTGATACATATGTATCACAAAATAAAGTGTTGTAACCTTTATGTGATCCAATGTACACATGCATAAAAATATAAAATTTTGTTAACGAATTTGTTATTATAAAATATACATATTTACATAAAAAACTCGTTTGCATTTTAATCTATTATATAAAAATATTTATTAATATAATTGTCTAATCTGCATTACAAAATATATCTTACAAATAAGCGTCAAATATGTTTCGTAGTGAAATTCGTTACATGTTAATGTAATTGAGTGCTTTTATATTTAAATAAATATTATAATAATTAATTTATCAATAATCATTAATATTCTCGTAATTCAAGAAAATCAGTTTTGTTAGGTATTTTTTCTCATATACTCGTCAACAGCAATGCATAATTTTTCCCACAGTTCCATAAGATCGTTTTTTGTCAAACCAATCTTACAAAATTCTTTTAATAGAGAACGATTTTCTTCGGAAAATTCCATTCCTAGATCAATAAATTAACAATATTCTTTATTATTTATAAAATGATTTTGATTAAAAGGAAAAAAATTTTTTGGTGATCAACTTAATAGGAAGAATTACTTAAAAAATATTTATTTATGTAATTTGCTGTCTTTAATCTAATCTTGTATATTATATATGTCAAATAATATATACAAAATTAATAATTCTATTTGTGTCAATATTATATTAAGGAGATATTTGACAATGAGTTCATATCAATTGCTAATTAATTAAAATTTAATAATCAAAATCACCTATCGTTTCTCTGTTTAATAACAAAAATAAACTTTTTTTACCTGTGTTTGTTGATTTTACTGTAAAAAAATGCTCAATTTGCCATGTTAGGTCCAAAAATGTCATTGTCCATTGAAATATCACATAACTTTTCTCTGTATCTATGGGTGAATGTATATACACTAATATGCCTCCATTTTCCTGAGTACATAACTCAGTGCTTGCATATTTCTTTAATTCTAAACTGTGTAGAATCTTAGATCTAAGGATATTGTTTTCATTGTAATCAGAAAGTGCTAAAAAGAAATATAGCCTTTATTGTACAATATTTTATAGTAATTTTATTGTGATTACTCACCAGACATAAGAAGAGAAAAATTTTTCATCTTTGTAATTTTCTGGAACCAAGAAGTTATTTCCAACATATAACAATCTTGGACATCTATAAAGTAGCACATTATGTCCTTGATTTTAAAATCATTTAAATTCTGAGAAAAAATTAAAAGAAATGAATAAAAAAAGAAATAAGAAATAGTTGATTATATAAAGAATTGTGTATTTCATTCTTCTTTACATACCTTAAAAGTTACTGTTAATCTCACATCAAAGGAAATTGTTTTTGTTACTACTTTAGCAAAGTACATATAAACATCATCGCGTAACCATTTTTTATCAACATTTTTGAATGTTATTCCTGTTACTTGACCCGTAATTTCACACAATTTAGCTTTATACTTGATAGATGGAAATTCTGACAGCTCGTAATCTTCATCATCGGAAGATAGTGTGCTACAATCATTTCGTCAGATCATAAAAACGAAACATTTACACATTTATATTTATTTATTTAATTAATAATTATTTACGTATTGAAATTGATTAATTTTTGATGTCTGTTTTCTTCTTGATCCTTCAACTTGTCTCTTAAATAAGTCACCTTTTTTAAGAGTTCTTTTTTCAACTCACGCAATTGTATTTCTTCGTTTTCCATTTGTTTATGAAATTTTATTATGCTTGCTTCATGAATAAGGAGATGTCTTCTTCTTTTACTTATAAGGGCCCTGATTCCTAGTTCCCTGTACAGTCATGGACACATTCGGTTGTGACATTTTCTTTTTTATAGGTTTCAAAACGCACTAATATTTTGCAAATGCGCACCACGATTGGTGTTATACTGTCTCTAAACTAAAGATAGTACATCGTGGTTCGTATTTGCAAAATATTATAGTTATCTATAAAGTATATATTATGTATATTAAACTTATATTAGAAACCTATAAAAAAAAGTCGCAACCGATGTGTCCACAACTGTACAGGGATAATCTTGGCCCAGCTTACAATAGGCCTGTTTTTTATAGCTGAACCAGAGTATAACCAGAGAGGATCCTAAGAGCGGTCATACCCGCGATTTAGCTGCGATGGCGATTGAGCTGGTTTCAGCGCCTCTGGAAAGTGGACATTGAACTACCAACTAGAGAGACCAATAAGAAGCACGCTTTCCGTCCAACGCGTGCTTCTCATTGGTCTCTCTAGTTGGTAGTTCAATATCCACTTTCCAGAGGCGCTGAAACCAGCTCAA